GTCCGGCACGGGGGGGAGCGGGCCGCCCCCCCCCGCCGGCGTCCCTGCAGTCGGCGCGGCTTGGGGGAGGCTGGGGGGCTGGTGGGATGTGGGGGTGGGGGCGGGCAGGGCTGCCTGGATCCGGGCCGCACACCCAGCTTCCCTCCGCCAGAGCACAGATCTTGGTCTGTCATTTCATTCTGTTAGTAGGACGGCCGTTTAGCTGCTGGCGCCCCCACTGGACTCTGAACCCCACGGGGGTGAGGACCACCCCTTCCTGTGCGGCCCCGGCCCAGGCGGCCGTCCCACCACTGCCCCCTTCTCGGCTCCCCTTCCATCTTCCTTTCCTCCCTCCCGCTCCCAGGCTCTTCCTTTCCCCTTGCTTCCCTCTTTTCCACACCACAGACAACGGTGAGAGGTAAGAAGACAGGAGAGGCCGAGGTGGAAGGGGGAAGGTGCTCTCCGCTGCAGAGGCGCAGGATGGGGCAGTGCGCGCAGGCGGGCGCTCACTTGGTGATCTTGAAAATCCTGAGGAGGCGGATGCAGCGCAGCACGGAGATGCCGAGGGGTGCCGCGGCCCCCGACTCCACCAGCAGGATCTCCAGGAGGCCACAGCACACCACAAAGCAGTCGAAGCGGTTGAAGATGGACATGAAGTACTGATGTAGGCCCAGCCCGCACATCTTCATGAGCATCTCCACGGTGAACAGGGCCAGCAGCACCCGGCTGGCGACGTCTGCAGCGTGGGTCACGCAGCTCCGCGTCACTCTCCCCCCTGCCCCGCCTGCCTTGGCCACGCCCTCCACCCTGGACACCCTCCCTGCATTTCCAGGGCATCTTCCTTTCCCTGCCCTTCAGATCCAGGACAACCTGGTGAGTTGTCACCCTTGAAGGAACGCAGCCTAGATTTCTAAGAAACTAAACGACACTGTGTTCAGCAGGTCCACACTCCTCACTCCACCCATCAACCCGTGAGCATTTTAACCCCATCTCCCTGATGTCCCAGAAGCACTGACACTGTTGATCAGCCTCTTGCTTTTTTTTTTTTTTTTTTGAACTTGCGGGATCTCAGTTCCCCGACCAGGGATCGAACCCGTGCCCCCTGCAGTGCAAGTGCAGAGTCCTAACCGCTGGGCCGCCAGGGAAGTCCCCTCTTGCTTTTTCAAACATTCTCTTTCCTTGGCTTCCAGGACGCCACATCCTTCTGCATTTCTCCTGCTTCTCCTGCACCCTCTCTGCAGATGCACCCCTACCTCAGCCCTGAGTGCTGGACTTGAGCCGTGCACATGAGTACACACCGTCCTCTGGGGATCTGGTGATGTCTTCTAAGACCACAGCTTCGATTGCCATGCCTGCCAGTGACTCCGGATTTAGACTCTTCAACCCAGATTTCTCCACTGAGTCCCAGACCTACTTTCCATCTGTCTCCTCAACATCTCACTGGGATGTCTCAGAGGCACCTCAAACTCAGCATGCTCAAGTCTAAGCTGATAGGTACTGCCCGTCCTCCCCCGTCCCCCCAAAGTACCTGGTCACTGACTATCTTCCCCATCTCAGCAAGTGGCACTACCATCCATCTATCTACATGGGCCAGGAACCTCAAATTCGTCTCTGACTCGTCTCGGCGGGCACTGTTCACATCTTGCCCACATTTGGTCATTGACAGTGCATTGACAATGCTTGGCACATTCAAGGGGCTCTCAGGAAGACTGGTTGCAAGGAATAAATGGTTGGATGGATGGATGGATGCAGGAATGGTTGCATGGATGGATAGATAGATGAAGGGGTGGATGGATGCATGCATGAATGAAGGAATGGATGCCTGGACGGATAGATGCATGCCTGGATGGGTAGATGGATGGATAGATGGATGGATGCACGGGTGGATGGATGCATGCATGCATGAATGCATCTGATCTGTAGCATTGTTTCCTATCTCCTTTCCATAGAAGAAGACAATCTTCTTTTCTATTTTCCTTCTTTTATCTCTTTCATTATTTTATTTTAGGCCACACTGCGTTGCTTGAGGGATCTTAGTTCCCTGACCAGGGACTGAACCCAGGCCACAGCAGTGAAAGCACCGAGTCCTAACCACTGGACCGCCAGGGAATTCCCTCTTGCATCATTTTAAACATAGTGTCTTCCTACTATCCAACCTCCCCTCCTCTGTAATCCTCCTCTTGTTACCTTGTATTTACCTCCACTGTTGCCCTCCCTATACTGACCTGACACCACTTATCAATATCTGCCTTTTCCTCTGGCTCAGGAAGCTCCTTGGCGGCAGGAGAGGTACATGCCTTCTCCGTGTGCCCTGCATTCTTTACTGGGCCTTACCCAGAGCATGTGTGTAATACATAGTTGGTGAAAGATTGCTGTTTCTGGAGTAGCACTTGAACTTGGATGCATGAAGCGCTCAGTTACTGGTCATCTGTACGTCCAGTGTCTGTGATAATTTGCCCAGACATCTGGCGAGCACCTGGAGTGTCCCCAACTTGTTGCTGTTACGGCCCCTGGCAATGCCACGAGGAAAAGAGTACCACTGCCTAGAAGTTCTAGAAAACAATGTCGACATCTAACGACTTTTTCTGCAAAACCTGAGGTGCCATTGGCCAGCGTTGGCCATCAGCCGCGTGTCTCACCTTGCAGGTGGGTCAACCAGAGAGGCTGGTGGTGGTGTTCCGAGGCGATCGACAGGGTGTTGAGGGCGACGATCAGGATGACCAGCCAGTAGAAGACCCTGGACTTCACCGCGTCGTGGCACTTCCAGCGGAAGACGCGGTTCCACCGCCTCCAGTGTCGGCTGAGAAGGCGGGGGGCGGGGCCGAGGCTGAGCTACTCCAGCTCCTCCCCAAGGCCGCCTTCAGGCCGCTCCAGCCACACTTAAGTCTCGCCACCCACTCCCTCCTCCAGCCACATGAGAGGGCCAAGGACGTGAACTGAAGAGACAGATTGTAAATCTTGCCTCTTACAGCAAATGTCTTCACCTTTCAAAGGAGAATAGTGATGATGCCGACCTCGGACGGAATTAGAGACGATGCCCGGCGCAGAGCAGGGCTCCGTGCGTTTCCAACTTAATTAAAGCAACCCTGGCATGCCCCATTTTGCCCGTCATAAAGGCAATTCTTTAACAAATTGGTCATATCTGGTGTAGGGGAGGGCGCGCAGAAAGGCACCTCCACTGTCAGATCGACCTTTGTGCAGCATTTACCAGGGTTAGAACCTGCACGCCCTTTGACCCAGCAAGCCTGTTTCTAGGGATCTGCCCGGCAGAAATGTTCACCCTTACGTACAACGGTTCCCTGTGGCTCTGTGTGCATTGCCCCAAACTGGACAGCTTACATAAACAGACTACAACATATGCGCACTGTGGAACATTTTACATTCAAAGATACATCAAAAGACGGTGTGTGAGCTATCACACCTTGCAGAGATGTGGAGGGACCTGAAACGCATGTCACTAAGTAAGAAAAGCTGATCTGAGAAGACCACACACTGTATGAGTCCAGTTAAACGACATCCTGAGAAAGGCAACACTATAGAGACAGGAAGATCAGTGGTTGGTTGCCAGGGCTGGGAGGTGGGGTGTGAACAGGCAGAAACAGAGGATTTTTAGGGCAGCGAAAATACTCTATATGGTACTAAAACGGTGGGTACGCGTAATTATACGTTTGCCCAAACCCACAGAACGTCCAGCACCAAGAGTGCGCCCCAATGTAAACTATGCCCTTGGACGATGCAGGTTCATCAGTTGTAACAAATGGACCGTCTGCTGGGGATGTCGATGGTGGGGGGTGCTGGGTGTGGCTGGGGGAGGGGCAGGCGGGAAATCTCAGCACCTTGGGCTCAATTTTGCTGTGAATCTGAAACTGCTCTGAAAAAAGAAAGTCTTAGAAAAGAAGAAAAAAGAAGGTTTGTGTCTGTATAAAGTTGCCCTCAATAGAAAATTCTAAATTTAAAATGTCAGTTACTAGTTTATGTGTGGATCGTATTCATTTATCCAACGAGCCCTCCCGTGTGCTGGGCACTGTGTTTGGTTCTGAGGTGACAGTGGTTAATGTGAGAAACCTCATCGTGTAAAAAGTGAAAACAAAACCAAAAAAACCTGGGGTGTGTGTGTGCGTGCGCGTGTGCGTTTAAGAGAGATGAAAGCGTACAAGAGGCTTCAGAGGGATACAAATCTAACTGTTACCATGGTTACCTCTTTGAAGGGCAGAGAAGGCCATCTTTTCTTTGATGTATTTCTCTATTGTTGGATCTTTCAAAATCACAGTCACGTATGAATTTGGAAAAGGAAGCAGCCAGTCAAACGGAACACACGGTCCTCTCTAGCTTCCTGCCTCCAGCCCCCTGCCCGCGACACTCATGGTGGTCACAGCCTCACTCCCGGTCTGGAGCAGAGGTTTCCAGGACTAGTTATCCCACCGGCTCCCAGTTTCTTCCTTACGTGGTGAGTAAATAGGTCATCTGCCCAGTGCCCTCCAACTGCGCTAAGGGAAAGCGACCCAAAAGCCACCTAGGGAGGTGACCGGGGTCTAACTACATGTCTCAGGGAGCTGCGGGCTGCGAGGACCCGCAGCTGGGCAGATACTCACATAAACTGGATGACTTTGTTCAAGCCTGCGATTTCATACAGGCTCTCTGTGTCAGAGCCACCTTCATCCAAAGCCAGCTTCCCTGGGGACAGACAGGTCCAGTTGGCCAGGCTTCCGGGCCCCTCTGGGCTGGACACACCTGGAAAGGGCCCGCTGACTGGGGACACCTGTGACAGCGACCCTGGGTGGGCCTGGACCCCTCCCTCTGCGCTTTCCTGAGCCCTAGAGAGCCCGCATCGGAGGGGAGGGCAGGTCACCAAGGGGCGGTGCAGCACTTTGGGACCTTGTGCTCCGGGAGGGCCCGGGGCACACCAGGCCGCCTCCACTGCCAGGTGTCAGGCTAGGCCTCTAGGGGCTGGGTTTTCTTATCTGCAAAGTGTTGATGCCGTTCCTGCCCGATGGGCCCCCTGGGGCTGCAGCGGGGGCGGGGGGGACGGGTGTGGAGGTGCCCCTGTGGGAGCTGACCGCGAGGGCAGCTCTGGGGGGGCTGCCGACCTCGGCCCGTGGCTCCAACCTTCTCTCAAGTCGTCCACATCCATGACCTCGCCCTGCGTGATCCAGCTCAAGTAGCCCCGGAGGTCCTCATCCAGCTGCTGCTTCTCGCGCAGCTTCTGGAAGGTTCCCCTGGACTTGGCTTTCTCCCGCTCCTTGGTGAATTCCCTGCGGGGGGGGGACGTTGCACCAGCCTGAGGTGCACCGTGCGTTCTCCCGGGGAAGTTGTCCCTGGATTCTAGGACCCTGGCAGTGGCGGGGGGCCCAGGGCCCCCCGGGGGGGGGGGGGGGGAGGAAGAACGCAGCTTCTTGGGGCGAGGGAGCCCGCTCTGCGGCTGGACGTGCCGCCCTGGCCCAGAGTCGCCTGGGGTCCGGGGCCCTTTAGGGAGGCGGAGGGCCGGCCCTCTCCCCCTCAGCAGCCCCGCCCTCCAGGGCCCCCCTCGCCCCGCTCCTCCTCCCACCCCTTTTCTCCCGCCTTGTCTTGGGTGGCCTTGGACATAGGGGTTAATGACATCACCGTGCATTGCCCTAACAGAATTGCCACGGACCCTCCGATTTTCTGTGCTGCCCGGACCTTTTAGGCTGCCTGAGTAATTTAGCTCTGCTTACAGACTTAAGGCCCTGGGGGACATGCTCCTGGGCCTGGAAGAAACCAGGCAGCAGCAATGGAAGGAAAGGACCCGAGGGTCAGTGAGGGCTCAGAGCAGCAGGGGGAGCCCTGGGCAGAGCAGCAGGGGGAATCCAGCCTGGTCCTCCCTCACTGGGCTCCGAGGGGCGGGCTGGGGGCAGCAGGGTCGGCTCGCACCGCCTGCACCCTCAGCGCCGCCCAGGGCAGGGTCCAGGAGGGGCTCTTGACCATTTTGTGCCCTGGCCCCTTTGGGGGGTCCCGCGAACCTATGGGTCGCTCCTCAGAACAGCGCTGTAAAATGCTCCAGATGAAACCATAGCTTGACAAAGGAACCGAGGAGTTAAAACATAGGTGTTGAGCTATAAAGTGGTGATAAAGTAACGTATATGCTTCTTTACTGAATCATTAACCAGCAAGATCAGGCGCAGTCTGATAACTGTCATAATTTTGTAGTGATATTTGCAACACCTGTGATGTGACAAGGGATTGCTGTTGGGACAAGTCATGGGCGGAGCTGGTACCACGTCGTGGAAGGAAGCACTGCGTTTCAGTTGGACTCAAAGAAATAAAGGCAAGTTCTTGCTACCCTAGTGCATGGACCCCCTGAATTCTATGTCCAGAGTGCCCGGAGGGAAGCTCCTGCTGCGGGTGATGGCAAGGCACAACGGGGCCGATGGCCACTTCCGGGCTGCCCACCGTAGCTGGGTGGAGCCGTCACAGAGAAATAATGACCATGAGTACTTAGCACTTCTGATGTGCTGGCCTCCATTCTAAGTACTTTATAGGTATTAACTCATTTAATCCTCCCAACAGCCCTGTGAAACAGGCACTGAAATTATTCCCATGTGACAGATGTGGCTCATGAGGCACAGAGTGGTTAGGTAATTAGTCAAAGGTCACACAGCCACCAAAGAGTAGTGCAAGGGTTTAAACTTGGGCCTCTTGCTCCAGAGTCTGTGCGCTTAGCCCGAAGGCCATGCTCAGTGCCGAGCTTCAGCCCAAGCACCTCCAGGGACAGGAGGCTGGGGTCTCGGGCCTTCACGTGGACAGAAGGAAGCGAGGATGGGAGAAGGCTTGAGGAGAAGGCAGAAGGGTGAAGACTGGAGGGGCTCCTGCCTGCATCTGTTCTCTTCCTGGCTAAAGGGGAGCCAGGGATGAGCGGGGGCTCTAAGCCACATCTCCCTGCCCACTGCCTCCCCTCCCCCCCCTCCCTTCCCCGCCCCCCCTTCCTCCCCTGCCTCCCAGCTGTCTCTGAGCCCCTCACCCGCTCAGGACGCCCAGCACCAAGTTGAGGATGAAGAAGGAACCCAGCAGGATCAGGGTGACAAAGTAGATCCAGGGCCACTCGTTCCCAATGGCATCGTTGACCTGGTCCAGACGCAGGTGTGAGCCCCATCCCTGACGTGAGGGCTTAGGCCCCCTTGTCAAGCTGGCCCATGCACCGCACCCGACGGCGGGGGCAAGGCAAGAGGCCATCCGGGTCCAGAGAGGAAGCCTCTTCTAGCCTGAGGACCTGGGACTGGGCCTACCGGCCGCTGGGACCGAGCCCTGCCTCCCTCCGGCCCCCGGGCTCCCTGCCTGACCCAGTCATGCCGGCCACCTCCAGTTGGTCTCTTTACAACCGAGATTCCTCACAGTGGGAGAAGCATTAAAAAGCCTTGGCCTGCGCTTGGCCGGCTCCTTCAGGAAGCACGCCTGTGACCCTGCATGAAGCGCCAGCATCTCTTAGCATTGTTCCATCTGCCTCCTGAGCTGATGCCGTGAGCGCGCTCCTCACAGGCTGGTCACGGGTGAAACTACACGCGTGACCATCCTCTGAAACGTTTAGTAATTGGCTCCCATAATCTGAGTTTACGAGAGCTACTCACACTAATCCTTTATATTTGCAAAGCATTTGATGGGTTTACAAGCATCCCCCGTAGGTAGTGTCAACCCGCGGCTGAGCTCCGGGGTTGGAGCCGGATGGTTAGAGGTCAGTTCTTGGCCGTGTCGCTCACTAGTCCAACAGCGGCCAAGTTACCGAACGTCCCTGAGCCTCGGTTTCCTTATCTGGAAAATGGGATCAATGCCTCCCACTGTTGGAGGATCAAAAAAGAAATGCAGCCTAACTCTTGTATCACTAAACAAGTAACCTTCTCTAGCAAGAGAACTTGTACGGCACTAGGTGCCCGCACTGCGGTAATTCAGTTAGTGCCCCCACTAACCATCATAACTACCCTGAGATGGAGTTATAGTATTTTTATTTTATAGACGAGGAACCTGATATCCAATCATATTTTTATGGGAGAGCAATCTTGCCCAGCAGCAAGAAGAGAGACTCAAAGGGCCCTTCCTTCCTCGGGAAATCTGAGATTCCAGGCCATCGGCAGCAAGTCACTCACAGCCAGGCTTAGGGACAAGTTAGGAGGTGAGACCAGAACCTGCCGAGCTCCGGGTTTCCGTCCCTCACCTGCTCTTGGGGCTGCGGACGCAGGTGGTACCTCGGCCTCCCCCGAGGATGCTAGGACACACACCTGAGGCCCAGAAGGGCTCCCCGGGGAGGGGCGAGGAGAAGCGGCAAGACCCTCAGCCCGGGACTGGCAGGCCCCACCCGCTCCCGGCGAGCCCGTGCTGGGGAGACAGCCGGCGGGCTCGGGCCCAGACCCACCCAGTAGAGGACGTCGGTCCAGCCCTCCATGGTGATGCACTGGTACACGGTGAGCATGGAGAAGCCGAAGTTGTCGAAGTGGGTGATGCCGTGGTTGGGGCCTGGCCAGCCGCCCCGGCACTCGCTGCCGTTGATGGTGCAGCGGCGCCCTGAACCCGTCCGGGCACAGGGCGACGGCTTCTCGTTCTCCACCGTGGCCACGATGTCTGTGGGTGGGCGGGGGGTGGTAAGCACCGGCGGAGGGGGCAGTAAGAGGGGGCAGCAGGGTGCGGGTCTCAACATCAGTTTAAAGTCGGGGAGGCGGCCTTGCTGGGAGAGTGTGGTGCAGACCATGGCGGGCTGGGCCAAGGGCGTGGATACGGATACGGATACACAGATACGGACAGGGACACAGGCGTCTGCAGGCAGGGGCTCGGGCCCAGGGCCTCACTGGAGGCGCGGCTTCTATGGAAGCAGATGTGATGTATCGTTTGTACCCACAGAGCTTTGTCAAAGGAGGCAGCAGCCCAGCGGGGGCGGAGGTGTGGGCCGGGCCTCACGCTCCGGCTTGAGAGCTCTGTCTGCGATACAGAAGTGAGGATGCGCCCCGATGCTGGGATGCGCTGGACTGGGGGTGGGTCTGCTCCCAGGGGGCGTCCCCAGCAGGCCTTTAGCACCCAGGGAGCCCCTGAATGGTGCTCTTATTGTCTCTAAAGCCTGCAATTTGGATGACATCTGGGTCCCCCTTTCCCCTGGGTAGGTTTGGTCTCCTCCTGTGCTCAGAGAGGTCAGACCGTGAGAGATCGAGTGGCCTTCCTTAACCATGTTACCGGGGGGCTCAATCCTCAGGAATGAGGCAGGGGGGCACAGACAGTCCTGAGCTTGGCGTGTGGTCCCCAGCCCCTCGAAGCTGGGTAGCCCCCATCCCAGAGGGGCTTGGGAACGCTACTGGTCAGCACTGGGCAAGACCTCGTGTGAACACCAGGCGAGACCCTCGAATTTCGTTTGAAGGTTGTGCTAGAAAGCCCCCTCCTCTCTGCCCTGATAATGCCTATGAGAGGCCGGAGATCGTCATGGGGACAGGAGGAGGCTGAGACGAGGCAGATTAGGAACGAGCCCAGCGAAAGCGCCGTGAGAGCTGTCGTTGGAGCTGGGTTGCTGTCCCCTTAGGGGAGCGCAGGGAAGTGGGGAGGGTCCCCCAAGACTCTGCAGGTCTCCGCCACCGAGTTAGGGGCTCATCCTAACAGAGGTCACCTCTGTCTTGTGCTGGGTCCTGTCCCCGCATCCCCAGTGTCCTGAGCCTCGGCCCGGGGAAGCTGAGGACCAGCAAACCGCTGGCACCTGAGAGCGAACCCCGAGAGTGCGGCCCATCCTTTCATCAAAATGCACAGGGGCTTCCCTTGTGGCGCAGTGGTTGAGAGTCCGCCTGCCGATGCAGGGGACATGGGTTCGTGTCCCAGTCTGGGAGGATCCCACATGCCGCGGAGTGGCTGGGCCCGTGAGCCGTGGCCGCTGAGCCTGCGCGTCCGGAGCCTGCGCTCCGCAGCGGGAGAGGCCGCAACAGTGAGAGGCCCGTGTACCGCAAAAAAAA